CTCGATTTTGAACACCCTATATCTCTGTAATCATGTTCTGTCTTTCGTTCTCCAGATACTTCCAATAGGCCATCCACCGTGGATCACCCTGTATAGACTAAACAATGATCACGTGCGCATGCGGGAATATTGCCACACTGTTCGTTTTCACTTTTGCATCGATATGGTGATAAATATACTTTCTGAGCAACATCATAGTGTGCTATAGGTATGCTGCTTGCTTAGGTGGTCGTAAGAAGAATAATACATCTAGTAAATATATTTACTAACCTCGTTACTAACTATACGCGTCATAATGTTGAAGCATCTCTAGGTAGGTATATTAATTGGTGTCGGTTGATTATTTTTGTATTATAAACATCGATCTCAATTTGTTGAGAAGAAACTTCGAACATCAATACGTGATTGACCTATTTTTCTTTAATTTATCTAAATATTTGTTTCTTGGTGCTGAATTGGAACATCGATTGGAACGGTTTAATATGGGCTGTAAGCTTTCCATAAATGATCACTCCATTTGATCGTTTGTGTCAATATTGGCAATTCCGTCGAGTTTCTAGAACATACTGTTTAATTCGTATTTCTTAAACGATTACTACACATGTGGTAATAATATAAAACGAAACTCGAATGTCCGAATTAACAGTTTATTTCATAATATCGATTAGTTTAAATTTATACACATCATATTTCACTAACGAAAACGAAAACAATGAAATAATATTGTTTTTACCGAAAAAAATATGCTTCACTACAAGTATATGGTTTGTTAATATTATACTCAAATTTCTCAGAAAAAAAAATCAGAATGAAACAATCATTTTGTGGAGATGAGATAACTTGAATGAAACAATTTATTCACAAATAATGTCTTTACTTCGATAATATTGATTGCTTGTTGTTTTAATAATGCAGTACTTTCTGACTAGGAAAATAATTTACTTGTTTCAACAAATATATATTGTTTGAAACGAGTTTGAAACCAAGTGTCGAATTATTTGAATTAATAATATAATCGGGGAGATGAAAATTATGACATCACAAAAAAGATGAGGTGACTAAAGAGTACACACTATACACAGTATCCTCGACATTACCACACTTGTGACACTATACATATACAATGAAGCAGTTATAGTACCGTATGACAAATAATCATATCCATATACCCATATTCCTGAGGTCTCGCATGAAGCTATTTATACAGAGTTTTATCGAAATGATAGTAATATATTGAACAATAAGCTTCATTTTAACAAAAATTCCAAAGATATTCCATATTTCCCAAACCTTCAAATCAACGAGAAATGTCACCTTGACAAATTGACAATTGAAAAAAGAAATTAAGAAAAAAAATCGAGTACGCCCCTTCAGGGCTATTGAAATCCTATAGTATAACTGATGACGGCAGAGTTACAAATTTTATGACACTGATGACATCTTGAATTTAGTTTTCGATTTTCTTACCGAAGTAGTTTCTTCTGATGAATAATATATGAATTCTTCAGAGTGAGGTATTCAGATATCAATTCTGAATTCACTAGCTCCTCCTGTATAGTTCTTAAGTTTCTTCTGAATTCTGAATATTTGCAGCTGATTCAAATTCATTGTTTTTTTCTGCTGTTTGGTATTGAAGTTATTTTTTGATCATGGAAGTTCGGAAGCATCAGAGGAACAATAATATGAAGTTAGTTTTCCTACAAAACAAATTCGTAATATGATTTCATAAATAATCAACCTCTTTTTATTATATTAATAAAAACACACAGCACTGTCCAAAAGGATGATCGTCTCTGAAAAACTGATCATATTGATGGTTATTCATATTGGTTCCAATTTGGTAAGAATCGCTAATAATAGCTAAGATATAGAGGGGAGACTTTCAAAGTGAGATACGCTGTATACTCATCCAGACTCCAGAGTAATTCTCAGTGAATGAATTTATTTTCTTGGAATAGGAAATATTTTTATGCGTAAACTTGTATCAAAGCAAAAATAATATTTGTGATAATTTTGAACAAACGATAAAGGACGGAAACGGTGAGGTTTTATTTAAAAATTTATCAAAAATGAATATGTTATTATTCGAGTCATTATCTATGTACTACTGAAAACTAGGTGAAATGAAACCAATGAAACTGATAAGGTACCTACCTATATATACATATAGCGAAATGTGGGTCAATAATTATTATTTTCAATCTAGCATATACTTCCATAACATTTTTTGAACAAATGGATATTATTATTACATATAGTGTTTTTGTGTTTTTCTTTATGATAACTGTGAGTGAGTATCTAATGTGGTTACTCCATGGTTATTAACATTGTGATTCGTGACTCACAAATTGAAACCAATGCAAAAAACATTCCCAGGTAAATTGTACCTAGATCACTTTACATAAAAATGCTAATTGAAAATGCTAGTGAATGTGAATGCACGATTCTTTAATGTCTATCAGTGCAGTGTGGAGAAACGAATATAGAATAGTCAGTTTTATGTACAGGGTATTATCGAAATTAATTCTTTAAATTTAAACCCTATGAGATAGCTCATTACTATCGAATGACATCATTGAAAATAATATAGCGATCAAAATAATATTTTCATCACGATGAGAAAAGGCACAGAGAATTTCTTGGAACTTTTTAATTCTTCTAGATTTTGTTGCCGAACGCTATGTTTCTACGTTCCATATGAAATTTTTGGGTGTTCAATTGGTATTTATGGAAGTAAAACAGCATATTTTATCAAAAAAATTATGAATTCATGTTATGTTACTACTATATTTCAATTATATGCACATATGAATCGAATTCACGCTTATTGCGGAGAACGAAGCGACGTTGCCACAGTTCATGAAAATGGTTAAATAGGAAATAAAGTTTAAAAGTGTACCTAGTGGATATTTCTTAGGGCTCAGATGAATCACATTGAATAAGTTTGCATCCCATCACTAATATTCAGAAGAAAATATCTTAAGAAAACTCGAAAATATTTGACAAAGTGATAGGGAAACTATAAAAACAGAATCACTTATCATGCACCGATAAGCCTGGAAAGTCCACGGTACATACAAAAGTACGTGGAAAACAGTCAACAATCACTGACATAAGGAAGAGCAATACTAAATACACCACTAACTATAATGAAATTGCTAGTCTAGTTATAGCACTAGAATTTCCAAAAGTATAGTAAACGCTCGAAGATCGGAAGTGTTACCTTTATTTTCACATCCCACACGGAAAAAAATAAGGAATCGTTGAATCAAGCAACATTTATTTAATGTAGCAAATATGAGTGTCATATATTTATATGATAAATAATCCATTTCTTGACGACGGAGCATACATTTTTAACTAATTTTGCGCGGAAGTAAACTTTTTTCACATCATTATTTGTATTCAGAAAAAAATCTCTATCATCAGAAAAAATAATAAATTTTATACAATGCCATTTGAACAAAAACAGCTGACAAACGCTGTCGTTAGAGTTGAAATTGGAAAAAGAAATTGTAAGTGCCACCTTGTAGTATCTGAGGAATCATTTCATTTGCATATTTGTTTTTTAAAATCGGTTAATAAATACAGGCCTTGGGGAGTTTTTTGTCAGTCAGCCTGTATTTTCTTGATGAAATTGATATCATACTGTTGATTCAATTAAACTAAATTATTGATTTGATCAACCTAACGAAAATTAGATTTACCTACCTGCTAACCTACAAAATAATTCAAAGGGTATGAGAATGGGGGAGACCACTGGTTTTTGAAACGACATCATCGTGAACTCTATACTGAAAAACTACCAGTGGATTAATTTTGAATTTTTTCATTCATGCTGAGACGTTGAAAAAAATGAATTAGAATATGTCCATTTCAAAACACATAATCCCTGCGCCATTTGAAGTTTTGTCAATTCATTGGTGAGACTGGTGCGACGTCTTAGTCCCAACACGCCTATTGTCCTTGAACTCACCAATCACACTGCAACACTGCAGAATGACGAGGTATCAGAGAGATATAGCTACAGTGCGGGACTAATACGTCACGGCTCCACCATCATATTTGACTTTTCGAAATAACGAACGAAATATGCTGATTTCTAAACGATATAGATTCGATTCCCTTCAACCTCAACTGATAATATTGATTATAGATCAAACGTAAATCATGATTCGTCGATTGAAAGATAGGCTAAGCATATTAGGATTCTCGGAGTAAAGTTTTGCTATAGTTTTGATCTTCTCACCTCCTATGTTTTTTAGGGCGCTGATCATGAATTTGAAGTTTGCTGGCAAAATTTTGGCCCGGAACTTTGTTCTTTTAGCACTTTTTGCAAAAATTTTGGTAGTTTTTTTAGTTTTTGGCCTATATCTCAGAAAGAAACAGTTTTTTCGAAAAGCGTGTTATATTCAAAGTTAGAGTTGACAAAATTTACTAAATTTTTTGTAGATTTCTTTTTTTCGTAAGACTAACCATTCGACCGCTAGAGCGCGCCAAATTAGACGTATTCCCGAACCTAGACCTACATGAGTAATGAATATAGGGAGAGTAATTGAAATAATATAACGAACGAATGAAATGCAGTCATTACTTACTAAAGAAGTTATCTACAGTGTACTGTCGAAAGTATCATAACATGTACTCATATCATTAAAATTATTAATATCGCCTCTGTCTTAAATTAGACTGCCATAATCATCTGGAACAAACGGATATATTATTTCTTGGATTTTTTGATAGACGGGGTGAGTATTATTTTGCACGTTTACTTCTGAGAATACTGTTGTACATACCTTTCAAGGAAATTTCACATTCTCTTCAGTCTATTCATCTTTTCTCCATATGTTTCCAGGTGATGGAGGTCTGTAATGAACAGAATATATGGGTACATTCATCTTAGTACATACATATTATGCTCCAAGAGTGTGATTGTCGTTTTATAAGGAAGGAAATGCCACATACCTCCATCCTCCTTGTCCATACTCTTTTCGATGGTCTCAACTACCAGGGGCGAAGGTGAAGCCCAGTTCGTCCTGTACTTCAACGTCGAATGGCCCGTCATTAAGGGGAATAGTGAGATCTGACTCGATTGTCACATTGTTGCAGGACCCCTCACAGTCGATGCACAGATTTGTGCAATCGAGGCCTGCTTTTTTGCATCTACATTTCTTTGCCCACGTCTTGATGCATCTACATGACACCAGACGCAGTAGTTCGAGAGGAGCGGGGGCTTGTAGAAAATTGATCGGTTCCAGGCCATTTGTTGCTCGTTTCCAACCCCAATCTTCGGCATTCTTCTCAACTCCCAGCCATTGCTGCACTTGGAGATATACCCTAAAACTGTGCTGTGTGGCTGCAGCAGCTAATGGTGGTATAGTGTAGCTATTTTTGATGAAGTCTTGAAAGCTGCCTTCGCATAATTAATATACCTCAGACGGTTTATCGACGGCTCAGTCCTTCCTGTGAAGCCGTACAGGTTGACCAGGAATCTCTCCCCTGCTGCTGCAATGCTTTCTGGAGTTGCCTCAGGGTTTTTGAACACACTCACAACATCAGCAAGGTTGGGGTTTTTGGTGACAGTTTTCACGAACTTTCCTTGGTTGTAAGGTGCTAAAGTTGTATCACAACCACTCATTGCATGAAGAAACATGATGTATTCTCTTATGGTTTTGTTTGTCAGAGCATGCATAGGAGAGTAGGTGGTTGGAGGAACATTTCCCTTCCCTGGTTTCAGGAAGAATACGTTATCTCGTAGACAAAGACCCGTAAGGATGACCAACCTCAGTCTCAGTACGTTCAGCCAAAGACAGGGCTTCGTTGACAGGTCGACCAACAGGTCGATGTCCTCTCCAACAACCACCACCTCAGTCTCAGTACGTTCAGCCAAAGACAGGGCTTCGTTGGCAGGTCGACCAACAGGTCGATGTCCTCTCCAACAACCACCACTTCAGTCTCAGTACGTTCAGCCAAAGACAGGGCTTCGTTGACAGGTCGACCAACAGGTCGATGTCGTCTCTGACAACCACCACCTCAGTCTCAGTACGTTCAGCCAAAGACAGGGCTTCGTTGACAATGACGGTATCGGCATCTTCTGTGGCCTGTCTCCATTGAGAATGTAACTTTCCTATGATCATGGAAATCAATCTTCTTTTGTTGTTCGTATTGGATACGAATTTTTTTTCTGCATGGTCGGTATCCTGTTCTCATCGAAGAGAATGTCTGCGGAAATCGATTTCATAGACCTCTTCAACCGTTCAGCACTTTTTGTTCCACCTTTCGAACCTTCTTGATATCCATCAAATACAACTACTGTTTGTGTGTAACGACGTAGTCAACATACCTGTTACATATTGCAGAAAAGGATTGCTTCTCGGGCCAAAAAACTTTGTGTAGTAAGAATCCACCGTCGATGACATATTGCACTTTTCCGCAGAACGACTTATTTTTTATGAGTTCGACTGCTTTGTTCCCTTTCTTGAACCATTTTCAAATAGGGAGAAGGAGTACGGACCCAGATCGTAGGACAAGAAAAATTTTGAACATTAGATCATTATACGTAGTTCATTGAATCATTTATGACCAACAGTATCAGTGAATTTCACTAGATATGGGAATATGGCCTTTTTTGGCGCTCTCTAGCGGCAGAACAATTAGTCTTACAAAAAAATGTTATGCATGAAAAAATCAGGAAATTTTATCCCCTTTCATTTTATACAGAATGATCTTGTCGAAAAAATGCTTCCTTCCTGAGATATAGGCCAAAAACTGAAAAAAGTGTCAAAATTTTGGCAAAAAGTGGCAAAAAAACAAAGTTCCGGGCCAAAATTTTGCCAGCAAACTTCAAATTCATGATCAGCAACCCAAAAAACATGGGTATAGAGAAAATCAAAACTATAGCAAAACTTTCCTCTGAACCCCCTCTATTTTCCTAATATGCTTAGCCTAAGAGGTTTGCACGGATTTCTTCCCTCAGTGGTCTTCCCCATTGAGAACATGATACATATTACTATGCAACTGCATGCAACCAACGGGACACGTATAAGTGATATTGGTTGAAGATGTGTCCAGTCCATAGGATACATGTCATGTATGTCTATCAAAATGGCTTGCTTATTAATAGGTACGAACCTTTCCTTATTTTCTGATAAAAGTTGTGCATGGGATTTCATCTATCTTTTACAATATACTGTATACTCACCTAATCGAACTGTGAATTAGAGTTTGTTGTAACTTCGAATTAAGTATATGATGGTATATAAGAAAAAAGTAGCCACAGAGTGGAAGTTCTAATTCGATTTGGAAAAGAGGTGTGAAATTCTCAAGAAAAAAATCAAGTTTCTAAGTTAATAAAAAGCCCATGACTCTTGACACCTGTTGAAAATAATATCAAGTCTTCTACCTACACATCTCGCTACACATGTATATTACCTACACTATAAATTAATGTGATATCGAGATTTTGTACAGAACGAGTTCTAAAAAGGCGTAGTTCGTAGTTTTTTCCTCTATAATGGCTTCAACAATAAATATAATCAGCTTCATCTGGAATCCAACCAGAAACAAGTATTATTTCCTGCTCACGTTAGTTCTTTGGTGCAGGTAATGGGTGTGCGCTGTTGCCACATATCCACACCACGAAATTCATTATTATTATTACTGACTGCTTTGTCCTCGTCCCACTTCATGGAACTTGAGCCGCGTTCACGCCATAAAAGTTTTAGTGTACAGGGTGGATTCGCTATATTTTGACACTTCCGTTGGAAGGACTTTGAACGCGATGTAAACTTATTTCATGTGTATATAGCTAGGTATTCCTCCAAATGATAAACTATTTAATTGAGTATGTCATGTGGAATGAAATGAGAGGTGATTTTAAAATTTGAAGACTCATTCTAACGTATTTCGACAAAACAATACTATGATCTGTATACATACGATATTATATCGAGCCTTTACATATACAATACAGAATACATCGTCTGCCAAAGTACAGGGTACGCCTATAAAAATGGAACCCCTTCTCAACTCTTTCGTTTTCAGGGATGTGAAAAAATGTTGAATTGAAATGTTGTTTGACACGACCCAAACTTTTAGTTTGTGAAGTTGCTTCATGTACAGGGTCATTCGTTTTTCCGGAAAGGACATTAACTTTGATTTTTTCAATATAGAACAACCAATATATTTTTTGACATGTCGATAGAGCGTTTTTTTCTGATTTCAAAAATATACATGAGTTGCATAGTTGGATGAAAATTAATTGAGTTATTGATTATCAAAGTTCACCAAAATACAGAATTTTCCATTGATACTGTGTATTCATATTTTTTTGTATTGGAATTGAACGATTTCAATTTCATAATAAACATACTATGAAATTTCCATGGAGCTTGAACAATATTTAAACGTTATTTCAAAGCCCACTATATTCAACTCACTATGAAATGAAGGTTCATAGTGCGGTATTTTGGTAAATTTTGATCATCAATAACTCAGCTATTTTTCATTCAAATATGCAACTCGTATATATTTTTCAAATCAGAAAAAAGCTCTATCGAAAAGTCGTGAATTATATAGGGTGTTTCATTGTAAAAAGTTGATGTCGTTTCTGGTTCTGGAAGAACGAATGAGCATGTATATGAAACAACTTCACGAAATAAAAGCTTGGATCGTTTGACACAACTTACCCAATAGTATTCTGAAAGATTTATGACGAATGTGTTTTGGAATTCACTGAGATCGTTAATTTGTATTCCTGGGCAGAGCAGTTTTGACAGTAAAGCCGTCTTGATATTATGTTCATCCCCCTAATTCCTATAGGAACTCCAACTTTGAAATTTCAATTATAGTAGTTGATTGTTACATATCAACTACTCTACTTCTGATACATCATTTTAAAGCTCTTTCCATTGTGGATACACTGATGCAATACTATTGATAATGAAGTTTATTAAAAAATGCGCTGGTTTTTAGACGGATATATATGGGCATCTGCACATTTCGAAGCATATTCCATGTACTCAAACGAAAGAAGCATGTTTAGGATGTTTTTTCATACAAAACCAAAGGTACTTGTTGCATTTCAAAAAAACGTTGATGCCTGGGTGGTAAATTTACTTTAAGGGGATCGTTGTCCCCCCTATGCTAATTTAAATAGTCAGAAAAAAGATCGTTTCTGAAGATTTGATTCACTCAATACCATAGATTATTGCGGTTCTGAATGAAACTTATCTGAATATTCTTGAGAATGTGTTGAATTTGCATCGAGATTGGCATCTGAATGGTTCAAAATCGTTACATTCACTACATTCACTATACATATTCCTTGATTTTGAGTTCAAAAAAGTAATTAAAAATCGAAAGTTGGTGACTATCCATCAGATGAACCATCAGAAGTTGAAATCAGTTTTTCTCATCTGTGAGAAAAAAACCAGTTCTATTCCTCATAATATGAGGGATTGTCTAGATTCGTCAGGTCATGACTTCCGCTCATTTTGCCCTCTGTAATATTACTGTTTTTTCTTTTCGAGGACAAATGAAGACAAATTATTTTTTGAATTTACTCGGCTGTTACTTGATGGAAATCCATGGCAACTGTAAAAACTTCACAAACGATAAGTTTTTCACAAAATTCTCAAACACACATGTTTCGCTAACACAGTAGCTTCGTCAAGTGATACACTGGTGCAATGAAGTTTTTACAGAAGACAAATTATATTACGTTTTACTATAACATTCGAAAAATAATACAACACAATGTTTCATTCAAAAACCTACAATCAATTTTCGACAGAACAAGTCATTGAATATTTCTTGAACGTGAAACATTTGAACTTCTACCTTCGATCATACAACCGGAGACTTCCACAGTACGGCAGCACCAGTAATGATCTGAATTATTTCGAACTAAGTCTGGATTGTTTCAAATTCAAAATGAAAAGATATTTCATCGACCATCTCTAGACCATCTCCAGGTTGGTGCCATACGAGCGATCGCATTCATTTTCACTGTATATGTATACCATTTCCTTCAATACTCTAAAAATCACTTTGTTAGTTTCACTTATAGTTATTTTGTTTATAATATATTTTAATTTTTGTTAAGCCCACTAGAAAATTATGTAGAGGGTTCTGTTTTGGATTTTCAATCTGTTTGTAACCCCTATTTTGGTAAATAAATAAATAAATAAATCTTAAAAGCTCAGGGGCACATACCCTCCAGAGCGAGCTTTTGTGGACCTAGGTCGATTCATTTAAATCGATAAGCAGCTGGTGCTGTGCTATCCAGGTTAGCTAATTTAATTTCAATAGGGGCTGTTTTATTCCATGCGGGTTGCGTCCGATAGAGGGAGCGGACTTTCAGTCAAAAATTGCCTGATCAACAAGAGCACTGGATGAGGCTATAGAGTGCCTAGAAGTTCTGACGTTTAATGTTGTTAGTCATTCAGAAATCTTTGAATTTTCACACTTCTCATGCCTTGAAACATCTAAACGAATAATATGAGATACGAATTCTTCTTATCACTATCACAGATGGAATGAGTTTTTCTCGGTTTTTCTATACTGTTGCATTGAACGAGTGGAAACAAATTTTTAACGGAAGACCAAACAGTGGCGTATTACTGAAGTCATATTTAGATATACAGATATTATTTGCACAAACTAATACTTGCTATTTTTCGATAACTGACAAGTCATACATACCTATCTTCATGTGAGGTCACCTAAATATGGATATAATATAGTATTCAACTATTTTGAAAATAGTTGATTGAAAACCCCTTAGATTAATTTAAGGAAAACCCCATAATGTAACCAGCGATGATAATTTTCTGGCATATACAGGGTGTTTCATAATTGAATGCTGATCCTAAAGGGTGATAATCCTTGGATGATTTTAAGAAAAATTCTTCATGTGAACATAGGTCCGTAACAGCTTCGTTTCTGAGATACAGGATGTTGAAATTTAACAAGAAAATCAGTTATCTCTGAAACCGCTCTGGCTTTTTTCTTCATTACAAATACTTAAAAATAGTTACCATGAAATTATAAAAATATTGCTCAGATCTTTTGGTTACCACAATTGTGAAATTATGACTAAGAGTAAAAATCGAATAGGGACAAGCAAATGAATGCA